AATGGGTAAGACAGACATAAACCAATCATTTTACTGCTATATACTAAATGCTATGCTGGAGATATGTACAGAGTGCTAAGATAGCACAGAGGAGGATGCAGGACACAGATTACACAGTGCTTTCTGGCAGATATATGAGCTGTCTTTAAGGATGAGTAGGAGTTAGCTTAAGAGAGTAGGGGTGAATAGTTTAGGAGAGAGGACTAGTAGTGTGAGGCAAGCAGGTATGGGGTAATTAACTTGGTTAAATTATAGAACTAAAAGTAATTTGGTGTTTCTGGGGGTAACTTCAGAGTTCTTTCTTTTCTCTTTTCTCTTCTTTTCTCTCCTTTTCTCTTCTTTCTCCTCTCCTTCTCCCTCTCCCTTTTCTCTTTTCTCTTTCTGTCTTTCTTGTCTTCTTGTCTTTTCTTTCTTTCGATGATATCTTACTATGTCTCCCTCAGCCTCCTGAGTAGCTAGGACTACAGGTGTGCACCACTGTGCCCAGCTAGAGTTATGCTTTTACTCTGAATAGTTTTTTCAGACAGAAAACTCGTGATAGAACAAAAATGTATAAATTGGACAGCAGCTTTATCTTGCTTACTAATGACAAAGCCATATATGAGATAGTGTTTAAACTGTAATTTTTCTATTAGCTTATTAATTATGGAATGTCCAGTTTCCTTAAGTACTAAGTTTGACAGTTGATATCTCTGACATTGCACTTTGACACTTGTTTTATTTCAAAGTTTTTTTAGAGCAATTTTTGTGAAATCATGGATAAGTGAAAATTTCATGTTATTTTTGAATATGAGTTCTATCATGAAACCAGTGCAGTGCAGACACCTCGAAATATAAATGAAGTGTTTGGGAAGGATGCGGCTACATGTAGTATGTCGATGGTTTGAGAAGTTCCATTCTGGTGATTTTAATCTTGAAAGTGAGCTACATATGCGACCTGAGACCAAGGTGGATAATGACGAGCTGAAAGCTGTAGTGGAAGCGAATCCATCTCAACTGATGTGTGAATTAGCAGCAAGGTTTGGCTATTCCTATAATATTGGACCATTTGAAAAAAATGGGCAAGGTTAAAAAAGAAGCTGGATAGATGAGTTTTGCACGAATTAAACAAGCATCGGAAGAAAAATTGTGTCAAAGCTTGCCTTTCTTTGCTGTCACCACATAAAGGTGAACCATTTCTACACCCTATTGTTAAGTGTGATGAAAAATGGATTCTTTTTGACAATTGCAGGCATTCGGCACAATGATTGGATAAAGATGAAGTGCCGAAACACAGTCCAAAACCGAATAGTCATTAAAAAAAAGCTAATGGTGTCTGTGTGGTGGTCCAGCGCTGGTACTATCCACTACAGCTTCATGAAACCTGACCAATCAATTACAATGATGACTACTGCAACCAATTGGATGAAATGATACTAGCCATTAAGCAGCCGACATTGGTCAATAGAGATAGGCCAATCCTCTTGCAAGACTGCATGTTGCAAAAAACAACACTGCTCAAACTACAGAAGCTGGACTGGGAAACTCTCTGTAATGCACTGTATTCACCAGACTTTGAACCACCTGACTATCACTTCTTCCAGGCTTTGGACCACTTCTTGAAAGGAGAAATATTCAATTTTCAACAAGCCATGGAAAACGCCTTTCGCAATTTCATCACCACTCATGTTTCAGGCATTTTTGCTGCTGGCATAAATGAGCTGCCCTTAAGATGGCAAAATTGTGTCAATAGTTTAGGCACATACTTTGATTAATTGTACTGCTTCTTGTTTGAGATATGATAAACTATACTTTTGATTTGAAATCAGACATTTCATATTTGATGACCCAGTAGCTTATTTAAATTGGGATGGATATATGTTTACCAGTAGTTTCTATTTTAAAAGTACATTTATTTTCTTACACATGTAACTGGTAGTTATTAGGGCCTAGGTGAATACTGCAGCTTTGAAATTAACTTGAGTCACAGCATTTCACTCTTGTAAGCAGTGAAGCAATGATTGTAGATTAACTTGCCGCTGTTTACCTTTTTCTTTACTTGATATAGCAGATTTCATATTTGAAGTTGTTACTCTTTGCTGCCATGTAGATAACATCTGGAATAATTATATCTTTACAGGATGAATGCTATCAAGTAAGACAAGTATTTGCTCAGAAACTTCACAAAGGCCTTTCCCGCTTACGGCTTCCACTGGAGTATATGGCAATCTGTGCACTTTGCGCAAAAGATCCTGTAAAAGAGAGAAGAGCTCATGCTAGACAATGCTTGGTGAAAAATATAAATGTAAGACGCGAGTATCTGAAGCAGCATGCAGCTGTTAGTGGTAAGCATACAGGAAAATGAAAAGTATATTTTTTCAACCTGACAATTGCAGTTTTATAGAATACAAAATGATATACTATTACTTATTATATTCTAATTGGCACTCATTAAGAAGTAACCATTTTTCAGTAACTGTTTCATTCAGTGTAGGTCATTTTAAAAATATAAATGTATGAGTATTTAAATATCAACCTGTGTCTCTTTATGTAAATGAATAAATGGCCAAGGAAAATAGTGACATTGGATGTACTTTTAATAGAATAGTAAAATTTGTATGTTTATACAAATTATCCAAGTACTGTCTTTTAGTTTAAAAAAGTACAAGTCTTTGATCTTTGCTGTTTTTTCTCATCTGTAGCTGACATTAATATCAGTGCTTGCATGTTTACTTTTCATCTGCTCACTTTACCCTATCGAGGTTCGTTGGTATGCCTCATGACTTCTATGACTTGTTTAACAAACAGCATTAAAATCCATCCACTTATCCAAGTCAGAAATCAGAGGCATTCTTCATACCTGTTTTCCCCTCTCATCCATCATCAAATTCTGTTAATTCTTCCTCCAAATGTCTTAAACATCTATCCTCTACTCTCCTTCCTTGCTATAATTTCACTTGGATTTTTGTATACACTGCCTTACTGTTGTAAGTGTTCCCGTGTTCTCCTGCCTCTAACCCACCCCCCACTGTGCCACATGGCTATCAAAATTATCCTTCTAAAACGGATCAGATCATATCACTTCTTTGCTTGAAATCCCTGTTAATTCTCCATTGCTCATAGGATAAAGTTGAAATGCTTAGCATGCTCAGTCTGAGTTTCATGCTTTCTCTCTATCCGTTCCTTACAATGAACTCTGTGATCCATGTACTCTAGATTACTTGAAATTTGCACA